TATACATAATAGAACATAATGAAAAATTGGAACGAAATTGTAAATCGTGTACAAATATCGAAATAAAACAAAGGACGGATTTGTATAAACATTATAATTGTATCACATATAATATTAAATACATGATTGAAAAGTCTATTATATAATTATTGTAAGATCTACTAGAAAGAGTACGAATTGTTTCACGTTTTTTACACAAAGTGCAATGTTTGGAATAAATAGCAAACATTCTCTGAATAGATATAAACTATATTGAAACGCAACTTGCATATTGCACAAAGCAACAGCCATCATTTATACCTTCATTTGTCAAACAGATTCCCTTTACTGAAATAGATCCTCTTCATACACTTTAAGATCCCGCCTGTCTTTGTGACCACTTTTTTGAGAATAATTAGCTGCAATAGGTGACCACATGGAGCTGGACATGGCATCGTTGACAGGTTCGATTACAGGTTGCCTTCTAGCCAATGATACTTTCAACTGGATGGAAGAAACCATACTACCATCCATTTCACTGATCGCTCTTTCAGCTGAAGTAGGCTTCTCAAAAGTTATAAACCCACGACTGTAAAGACAAAGAGAAAGAACATGATTATCGTGTCTACAATTGCATATCTCTGATAAAATATTATGTCACTCTCTAATTGTATTCATCATATTAATGTGTGATAAAAATACTACTTACTTTTTCTCTACTTCCATGGATATATTGATGATATTTCCAAAACTTTGGAAATGTTTCTTAAGATAATCCTCTGTTATTTTATAACCACATATAAATATTGTATTTCCTCTATGCTTCATCTCTGGCTTGGCTGTGGATTGCGTATTGGTGGTCTTGCCTTCAGGGTTCTCAGCACTGACAAAACTATCGTACAAGTCTTTCACCCTAGGCCTCGCTGCCTCTGTGTCCTCTTCTTCCAATTGAGTGGCTGAAAACGGCTGATAGGAACTATAAGAGGTCTTTTCTGTGCTATTTAATTTTCTCTCTAATCCACGTGGTCTCTTGAAGCTTTGTTCCGGCCGCTTGGGTGTCTTAGGGGCAGTAATTACACCGGATTTAATTAGTTTCTTAGCGACTTCGCGAGCGTCCCTCGCTTCCGTCGGTCGTTTTGGTGCTTGAGGAATACGTTCAGCTTCCTGCTTAGGAGCTTTCAAATCCTGCAATGCCTTCTTCTGTAATGTACAAAAAATAGTATGCATAAATACGGAAAAATATCAGTGCAAATATATCTAATATTAATAAAAACTGAGTATAATATCTGGTATATAAACATGTAATATCGACATAACCTTTCTTTTAAGTTTGTTGTACTTATTCTGCAGCATCAACTCCTCCTCCGTGTGTTTGTTCGATGGAAAATGTAGGTAAACCATATTTCAAACTGATATAACGATAAATATTTTAAAAATACTCAAAAACGCTTATAGTACTATACGCCCGTTAAATCGTTTACAGTTGAATGATAAAATTCTCTAAACGAAATCAAGTAAAAAAAAATTCACACGGTTCAAACCTGGAAACCTTAAAGGCTGGTTTATGATGGTGTAGGCGAGAAACAGTATAGGCGGCACTAGTGGTAAGGTTTAGTACCGAGAGCGAGTACCCGCGCCAGATGTCGTGAATGCGAGAGAGAGAAAGAGAGTAGGGAGAGGAGAGCGGAAAATTGTATTAAGAGAGAGCGAAGAGAGAGCGGGCTCTCGTGTGCGAACCGTCGTAGAAATAAGTCGAACATAAGTCGAACATTGTACTATCGTGAAAATATATCGTTTTATTCATATAAAATACAGACTACTACTTTTTATATTCACTTCACATCCTGACGCGTCGAATAACCAGAGGCCCAAGTCCCTCGTGGAGCGGACACGTCGAAGAAGCCTCAGCTAAAACAGAAGGACCAGATAAGGTGCAGTATAACACGTCGGTACCAGAAAAGCTGAGACAACAGAGTAGAAAAAGACTTACCTAAAAGTAACACGTCCCTACAATGGCCGCAATCCGCGTCCGATGTCCGACGTACACTCAATTGCGTTGATGCTATACCATTCCCCAAATCGATAGTCACTAAAAAATTTTGACCAGCCGTATTTGTTTCTAGCTGATCGTTTCTCATGACTGTTGATTCATCCGGCAAGCGGGAATGTGTCAAAATAGAAGTGATATTTTGACAGTTTGACGTTTCATACATACGTGTTTTTATCAGAAGGTTATCTGCTCACGTGTAACGCGTAATCAGTACAAGAAGAATAAGAAGGTTAAAAAAGGTAAGTAAGAAGTTAATATACAAAATTATAATAAATTTATACACATACAACATAAAGGGTCTCTGCTTTTAATATTTTTACGCGATTTGCTCTCAAATTATTCGTTATTAATAAACATTCTACTTTATTTGAATAAAGTAAAAACTTCTTACTTATCTTTTTTAACATTCTTACTCTTCTTCTACTGATTGCGCGTTACATGTGAGCGGATAAACTTCTGATAAAAATACGTATGTATAAAATGTCAAAATGTCACTATTTTAAAATGTTCTATTTTGACATTCCCGCTTGCCGGATGAATCAACAGTCATGAAAAACGATCAGCTAGAAACGGACACGGCTGGTCAAAACTTTTTAGTGACTATCAATCTGGGAAATGGTATAGCATCAACGCAACTGAGTGTACGACGTCCGACATCCAATAAAAGAATAGCTTTCCAATGGAGAATTAAATCCTCTATTAGAAAGCTGTTCTCCTGTTGGATATCGGACGTTGTACGTCGGATATTGGACGCGTGTGAATCCTCTATTAACTTATGTCGGAACCGTAAAAAATTGACCAATCATAATCAAAATATAGAAGAATAATCGATTGTGATTAATCAATTTATTACGGTTCCGGCATAAGTTAACTGATTGCGGCCATCATAGGCCGGTATTCATAGTCGGATCTTATATTTAAAACTGTCTTAAGTTTATCTTCAGATGATGTACGGATTATTTCATTGGCTACGGAGTATCCGAAGATAAAATTAAGATAGTCTTAAATATAAGACTCGACTATAAATACTCGGCCATAAATCAGCTTTTTAGCTTTAGCTTTTTAGCTATGTTCTTTTCAGCTGCACTGCTACACTAGTACAATAAGTTACAGTAATTCCCATTGATTATCACTCTTGATTGGTACATACTTCTGGATCTACTAAGAATGAAAGAATGTTCCAATCACAGACAATAATAATCACTAAGCGTTCACTGAGCTATTTTTTCCATTGAATGTGGCCATTGACAAATGCAATTGGTCAATTAGTTAAAATAATCAATCAGTTAACTAAAGTTGATAGAATCGAGCATAAGACAAATATATTTTATCACACTTTAAAGCCAGCGGCACACGATGCTTGTTTTCATGCTAGATTGCTTGCTAGATGGAAATACTCTATTCTGATTGGTGCATTTCTGAAGACGGACCAATCAAAATAGAATATTTCCATCCAGCATGCAATCCAGCACGAAAACAAGCATCGTGTGCTGCTGGCTTAACTTATTGCATAAGTGCAGCAGTGCAATTGAAAAGAACAGATCACTAATAATAAATGACGTATATACTTAGGGACTGCGTTCCAAAACTCTACTCGACGAGTAAAGTAACATTTAATTGACTAATAAGAACAAAAATAACTAGAATTTCTTTATCATAATTGGTCAATTAAATATACTCTATCCACCGAGTAGAATTTTGGAACACAGCCACGGAGATTGAAGGTCGTAGTATAACTCAACAGCAGATCAGACAAATTACTTCACTAGTAGCACGATTCAACGGCGTGTCAAACGCCTTTTTATTTTCAAATACGCAAAAGTGTATTGAAGAACTTTTGTTCTCAAGCATTAGATGCAATAGTGAGTCAAGCGATTTTTTATTTTCAACTAATTCCTCTTGAACGTACAACTGCACGTAATTATTTCTCTTAGTTCAAATATTTCTTGCGTTCATGTTGTATGCAAGCAAGATAAAAAAAATTTAATGCGCCTTTGTAAACTTCGGCTTTACATTGGATAAAGTCCGTTAGTTGCTTCAAAGCTTTCAATTTTTGCACTGACGTCTTAACTCCATATAAAAAAAATCATTTCAAAGTCTGTAGAAACGTCAAACGGACCGCACCCATCGTTAGTGACGTGCATGCCGAGTTTTATTTAGCTCACCTATAGGATTTCGCAATATTAATGTAAAAATAAATTTTGAACGCAATCGCACTCTGTTCCTTTTTACGTGCGAAGGATTACGGTTTACACGATGAGGCGCACATGGCGAGAGAACGATCGGGTGAGGGATTTTGCCGATATTTTGATAACCTTTTCCTTCAAAACATTAATGCAAGTCATTAGTAGATTTTGAATTATACGTAATATTAAGATTACATAGTCTACCTATCCTATACTTACATGTAACCTGTGATGTATTGATTCTCTCTGAGCTATAAGAACACTTTCTTTTTTTAACATTGAAACATCAATATCAAAGCAATAGTTATGTAGTTCCAGAATTATAAGTAGTTGAATAAATTCTTTATAAGTAATTTATGAATTTTCTTATGAGTGTGATGTTATTTTTGTATGACATTTCTTTATGTACTGATATTTATTTTATATACTCAGGATTTCAAACAACCACTACCAGGTGGAGAAACTACAGAAGCTGAGTTAACATGTGCTCTGTATGCAACTAAAACAGAGTTCAAACCATTACCAGGATTTGACCCTAATATCGATGACTTACAATACTTTCGAGCTCAACAAAGAATTGATTGTGATGAAGTATATCCTGGAATATATATTGGCAATGGGTAAGTACAAAAAAATATATAAAAAGTACTAAAACAAAATAATAAAATTAAAATGCAATGGTTTCTTTACAGGGAGACAGCAAAAAACAAAAAATACCTTGAAATGTTAGGTATAACACACTTACTAAATGCTGCTGAGGGAAGGAGATTTGGATTTGTCAATACAGATAGTCATTACTATGCAGATACAGCGATCAAATATTATGGTATTCCAGTTACAGACTTACCTACTGCAGATATTAGTAAATATTTCTACACAGTAGCTGATTTTATTGATGAAGCAATGTCCACAGGAGGTAACTTGGCTATATTTATCCTTCCTCCTAGTTTGTGGTACAATATTCACATACAAACTAAAAATCTCTATTTCTCTTAGGTAAAGCTTTTGTGCATTGCATGCAAGGTGTATCTCGAAGTGCCACTTGTGTCCTCGCATATCTAATGATAAAAAAGAATATATTAGCGGTCAACGCCTTGAGGATGATCCGTGTAAATCGGGATGTCCACCCAAACAATGGTTTTCTTCAACAGTTAGCACAATTGGATAATCATTTGCGCAGACAACAGCTGCAATCTCGTTGAACATAATTAATAATGCAAACCTTATCAAATATATGTGGAAAATTTTTTGTTTATTTAAAAACACAGTTAAAATTTTTTCTTTCTACTTCTAAAATTCTTAAAATTTGTTGTAAAAGTTGCAACATTATTTATGTATACGTGTAAAATATCTATAAGAAAGTTGACATAAAATACCTGTTAATATAGTTAAAGCTATATTTAACCAAGAAATATTTAAAAAGGTGTATTTTATTGTTGTTACTATTATATTTCTCTGACAAGGGAAAAAATCTGTTGGTATTTTTAATCTCACCTTTCAATTTCAATTATCACAGATTATAAAACATGCTATATATATAGCTCTGAGTAAGTAGATAAGGATAAAAGGAATTAATATGGGTGATTGTATATCCAAATAGAAAATTCAGACATTTCAATATTTCATTGTTAATAATTATAAATATAATTTGCTTCATAACTTCAGTGTATTATACAGAGAATAATCTTTGATCGTCGGTGATTGGAGAATTTTAAATTACAATCTGTATTCGTGTCAATAGAGATATATTCCATAATTTTACAGTTAACTTATCCACAAAAAGGATCGAATATATTTCACTGTCTCTTAAATTTATTGTTATCTATTTTGCTAAAAAAGACACAGCGTCGACATTCTTTCTCATTCAATGTAATTGTAAAAAAAAAAAAACAAACTATGTTTAAAGTCTAGCTCGGATGATAAATAAAACGTTAATAGAGGATAACAAAATAAATAAAGATGCAACAAATAGAGCTATTAAGTTACCACTTGGTCCAGTTTATCAATCTTTCATCTTTAAAAGAAAAAAAAAAAAAGAAAGAAAAATTAACAGAATGCCACATGAAAGCAGGTTTTAAGCAGATAAATATTGGCAGCTAAAGCAATGAACATTCTATTTTTAAATTAGGAATATTTCCGTTTATAATCTTCTTTCTGTAATTGCGACAAAACAGGTAAATACTGCACAAAATATAGGACGAGTTCGTAATATTATTTCAGTACAGCCGATTCTTGAAACCGATTAATATATCGTTAAGAAACACTCAATATATTTCTTTAAACGTTACTCACACATGTAACGTTTTAAATTTTAATCAAACATCCGACATGCATCCAGTTATAAATAAAATTGAAAGCTTGAGTATTCCTTTGAGAACAGTGTTCAAGCGGGTGCTATATTAAGTTTCAATTTTCCAACTGACTCTGTATTACAACTTATTCCAACGTAAATTTCGCTAGTACAAATGATATCTTACACATTCTCTTATCTTGTTCATTTGGGCCGTTACTATATGTAATGTAATGAATGCGTACCCGATAATTACAGTATAATCCGAAAACTAATATTTCGCAATAACAAATATGCAATAAATATACGTTACATCTACGCTAAACATTACAAAGACGTAATTAATTGCCATACAACAGCCAACATCGTTTTAAAAATAATGCAAAACACGCGAAACACTTTCTGTAAGTTTCCTCCTTTTAAAGAAATCACTTTCATTCCGCTGTCATGCCACACATTTGTTGCCACTAAAGCGATTTAATTAAAACGATATGTATGGAAAATGTAGTACAATTTCTATGTTTTTTAACCCTTCCAACGTCACGTTCTGTAGTAGAAGAGCAAAAATTATTTTAAATTAAATCCCTAATAAATGCAAACTAATATTTTTATCCTTCATTCAACACATAACGTAAAATATTAGAGTATAGCTCGCATATTTTCGCGTAATAACAAATTTAAAAAGTTACAACATTGATCTATTACTTACAATCAAATTATACAAGATAGAAAAAATCAAATTATGTTTAAAATTCATTAAAATGATCGAATATTAATATTTTTCTAATTAATATATCTATCATATTTTTATAATTATTCCATAAACATAATGTGATGATATAGTATATACATCATAAAATAAAACCAATATTAAATATAAATACAAATAAATAAGTTTACTTAATGGTGTAAACTTGCTCTTGAGATTTGTATGTCAGTGACATGGCGAAGAGAAACAAATAATATTCCGTTTTACTTAAGATTTCTCTCTGGAAAATGACTATACTATTGTCTGTGACAGTTCATATATTAATAACGAGTAGCACAATATCAGTTAAACGATCAATTAAGAGATAATACACGACTAACATATCTGTTATCAAAAGTTTAATCACATTTATGTAGGTTGTATATTGGTTACACACCGATGCTACAGTGCTATTAATACATATGATGTGATTCAGGAATTGTTAACAAAAGTTATTGAAACCTTTACGAAAAAATTATAAGCTCAGATAGATCAGAAGTATGTCGCCTACCATTTGGCATTAAAAGGGCTAATAAACATTGTTATACCAAGAAAAGTGACAACAAAAGTATTGATGATGAAAGTGTGTTAGACGATGATATTTTTCGATATTAGACATACATGAGCCTTCCGACAAAAAATCAATGCCTTATATCTTTTTTTTAACAAGTATATAGAGAAATATATATAAAAATTGTTTACAATGGGAAATTGAGCAGACTCGCCAAAACAAGAAAGTAACGGGAATTCAAGTTACATTGTTATGCAAGAAACTGAGAAGTCAATAACTCGCATATGAACTTTCCGTCGAGCGTGTATCAAGAAATTTCTTCACCACCAGCTCTCATCGGTTTCGTTACCTTTCGTTTCTTTAGCGACAATTGTGCTCTTTAGTTTGTAATCTGATTGGTGTCCGTGTAGATGAAAAACTGATTTAACAGACCGGACAGTATCGGGTATGTTACACTCCATATGAGTCCTAGAAATCTCAACACCGGATACGATAATCGAGATCCCAAATTACGTGTTACTATATATCTCATGAATCCAAACAATTTCAAAAGTCTAATAATTACAAAAAGCCGAAAACCTTCAGGAACGCGGAAGCTTCGAAATGCTGAAGACACACTGGAACACAAAACACTCGGCATTTGGTGAAATTTTGATTTCACAAATACCCAACATACAAACATTTTGTGTGCAAATGTTTTGTGTTCGCACACTTGCCTATTTAGCAACTGATTTGTAGGAGATACATGCTCTCTCTCTATGGACGATCATTTGGTATCCAAATATATTTTAAGTGCTCTCTCCCGACGTGGACTGTAACTCGAAGTAGTAGAAAGCGGCGTTAAGCGTGAATTCTCTTTAAAAGCGATCTCCATTACCTCATCGGGATTTAATCGTTTCGGGTTTTCCCTACTATCCCTGAAAATTAAGGAAGCAATCGTTGTTCATTAACGGATTCCTTTAATAGTATGTATGTTAAATAATAATACATACCTATATAAGAAGACGGCACCGTCTTCGAAATTGAAAGACAAACTATCGTGATGCTCATTCCAGTCATGCTCATTTTGGATTCGTAACACGGAATTGTCGCATGGAAAAGTACCTTTCCCCTTCGCAATATTGATATATTCCTCCGGAATATCCGATATCGAGGAGAGCTAAGAACAAAGAAGATTAATGAAAAATAGTTTCCGTATATTATCCTCTTCGATCTTTCTTCGATTCATAATCATTTTTCCTGCGCGACTTACTTTCTTCCTTAATTCTTCGATGGTTCTGTTCTCCAAAACTATCTCTTGGAACTGCTCCAGCTCTAACTTTGCCGGTAACCACCTCCTGACAAACAAGACAATCTGATTGGTGTCCGTAACTGTCTCTTTATCCGGTAGTTCTTGAATAATCATTTCAAATTGCGAATGTGATCGAAGGTCCTCGAACTTCTGTTCGTCCAAAAACACCTTCGAGGCTGTTTTGTAATATTTTTTCCTAAGCCGGCATCTCTCATACGGTATGTCGATATCATATTTTCTCTTAATCTCTGCCAATATCTCTTTCTTCGCTTGTCCGACCGTCATGTCTTTCGAGACAATCCACTCGCACAAAAATTTGTAAGGCTGTTGAAATATTAATTGCGCTGAGTAAAAAATGTTGGCAACATACATTTTGTACATATAGAAACGTGAATGAACAATGATTCGTACGTACTTCAATGGAGTCGATCAATAACTGATACAACTTCACTTTGAATTCTCCGCTACGCAGGGCTCGTCCAAGTTTTATGCTGAGCCTTTCGCCGTCACCGTAAGAGTTCAGCTGTTCCGTCAAACAACTGCACTCCGATTCACCAGTATCATTCGATAAACGAAAAACTTTGAAGTACTCCACAGACACACCGACGAACGGCTCCAGTTCTTTCTTCAAAGTGCTCAATCTCATTCTCTTATCCACTAATACTTTAAGTACTGCAAAACAGAAGAGAGAATTGGATACAGCACACCCGCTGAACACACCAGTCATGGAAAGATTTGAATGTAATGCAACGTACGTTTTTGAGTGTTATCTGTGTATGATGTTGCTCTGAAGTAGTAGTCGGAGTCATCATCGATGTCCCAGTTTTCTATTTCGAATTGCTTCGAAATCTTAAAGCGACGATCCCACGAAGTTGGCGGAAGTTGGGGATCGTCGTCCTCCGGTACGTCGCCGACCAACGTTTTGTCGCTGTCGCTAAGGCTACTGTCCTCACTGTTACTCTGTTCGGGAGTATTCCACTCCTCAGCTTCTCCCAACTGAGGACTTATGTTCCGTACGGTGGTATCCTCGTTGCTACGTACGCTACTTTTTGAGGTTTCATTGTACTTCGAATTGACGTCCCAATGTGCATCGGTAACACCTAGTTTGGACAAACCGTTGCTGATAGGCTTTTCCTTTTCCTCAAATTTATCCTCCAATGGCGGGATATTCAATTCTTCTAACGCTTCTGTAAAAATTGCAACATAGAAATGTTCATAATTTAGTAATTATCATAACATTATATAATTCACGGAGGAAATATGTACGCATAAGTATCTTACCTTTACTGATATCTGGCAATTGAATGTGTAGGGAAATAACGTATTTGAAGTTCTTTATGATTTTATACACTGTCGATTCTTGAAGAGGTTTGTTATTATCAGTATCGTTCATTGTTAATACGAATATCTTTTTCGCATTATAAAATCCTTCAGTCTGAAGATCGTTATCATCGCTTTCCACGAGATCATACGAGTCTGGGTACTTTGGTAATATTACTTTCATTTGTTTAGGATCCATATTAATTACTTTTCCTACGGTTTGTTTATACTCTTTAACACTTTGCGACAATAAACCTCGGATATTGATCGGACCGTCAATTACCTCCTCTCTAGCTACGTCTATGACAAATACCTTTGTTGCAACTCCTACGAGATAACATAATCAAAAATTCATCGTCGGTTTATATTGTGACTACACATAATTAGTTGTGCAAAACACACACATACATACATGCAGTTGCATACTTACCACCTGGCAAAAATGTCTCGAATTTCTGATCTTTACGACGAATTTCTAATAATAAATCGAATCGATGTTGATTCTGCCAAATACTAGCTACAGACTCTTGCTCTCTATCATCATAACTGCATTCTATTAAATCAATATTATGTTCGTAACTAACTAAACGGCACTGATCCAGATTCACGACATTGTCAAGGTTGAATTTCTTGTACGCTTGCTCTGTCGCCTCGGCCCAAGTGGTGTCGGGCATAACGTATAACTTAATGTCTATTAATTTTCCCTTTAATGGATGATGACAATAAACTTTCAGCCTGGGTATTGACATCTGTTTCTCACGATTTTTCCTGTCATTATCCTCGCTCTCCTTCATTTTTTTCAATAACTCCTACAAATAAATACCGTATAAAGTAACTTATATACCGTATAAAGTAACGTATATAAAGTTTTTTTACTCAAACTATACCTGGATGTGTCGTGGGAAATCTTGGACTTGTATAGGTAAAGTATTACGAGCACGATCTATTTGTCTGTACATCAACATATACGCATTCGTGCTACTGCTGTACGCACCACTGTAATACGCTCTTGTGGGTCCGCCGCCGTACGTTTTCTGGATGTCATCGTGAGTAATCTGATATCAAAATACAAACATAAGTTATAGATGACTCCAGATATTCCAAATTTCTATAATTTTGTACCTGCGTTACACTCTGGTCGTTAAAACACAGCCACTCTTGCGTCCTGAAATCCTTGATATAAGCGTAATAATGGCCTCCGCTCGCGCTACCACTATGAATCATGATAGAAAATAGTTCGTATTGATACGGGCCTCTTCCCAGCATGTAAGTACCGCGATTCTTCTCATTTTCGTGATTGTGCACGGTACAATTCGATGTCGATGGTCCATTACTCATATCTATACCTGTAGACAGATAAACATGTTTTGATAGTTTTAAAATCATCTCGATAAGATAAACGTATCAATCTCCGGACAGTTAAGAGAGTATTTTACTCTTTGTTAAAAATCTGATTATTCTTGTTTGAAGACTAAAACGACAGTACCTAGAGTTAGGGACATGTGTCCAAACATTAATATTTGTATCTTAAATAATTGTATCTAGAATATCACCTTCGTCATCGTCTTGATCGTGATTAGCTGAGTGATTACTATTGGAGAGACTGTTGTCACATGGTATACAATCATCATCCAACGTGCCACTGTCTGTTGTGGAGCTGTCATCGCATTTGATACCTAGACCAATGTCTTCTTCACCACCTGGAGACTCTTGACTCGTTGTGGACGAAATAAAGGGATTTAAATTCAATATATCTGGGAATGTGACTCTGCAACAGTAAAAATTACAACATAAGATCCAAAACGATTTTTTATTAAGCAAGAGCACAATCTTTTAAGGAACATACCTATCGTTGAGCTTGATCCTATGGAAGGTTTTATAATCGAAGTCAAACCGCTTGAGATGTAGAGTTAATAAATATGGAAACTTTGTAAACTTCAATCCTTTATGCGCGTCGCATTTTTTATTGCATTTTTCACAGTGGTACTGGTTGGCTCCTTCCAAGATTTCGTACTGCACAAACGCTCTGATTGCTTCTTCCTGTAGAACCAAATTTTTTTTATTTACGTAGATATGCATACAAATGTGAATACAGAATATTTAGGATTTCGCGTAATATATTACCACACAGGTGTATGCAACGTTACTTCCAAATGGTCTAACTGGCAATGGGATATCAAGAAATGTATCTTCTCTCGATTTTTCTGTCCCACACTCAAGGCATTTAACGTAATCAATCATCTTTCCTAACAACATGAAAGATAAATGACAGAGATTTTTCAAACTCATACACAGTAATCTATTTTCTACCTTCGTAGAGTCTGTTGATTAAATCAGCCTGTTCTGTGTTCTTGAATTTTTGCTCCAGTGCATCAAACATAACTCTGCAAAGTTCCTGGATGTCGTGCTGCTGCCATGCTTCAGTAGAATCCCATCCAAAACTTTTAGTTAAAGAAGTAGTTTCTACTGCAGACTTTGTGGATGTCTGTTAAAAAAAAAACACATGTATTATTCGTTATAAAAATACATAAATTTTAGGTAAATGCAATTATAGACAAATACTATACCTGCAGATTCAGAAATAACTTCTGTAATTGGTATGGTATACTTAGAGCTTCATCCTTTTCTGAACCATCTACATATTCCCAATTATACAACGCGTTACGAAATTCTGGTGTCATGTACAATGCTTGAAGAAGACTGTTCAGGTAACAAGTCATCGCCTGATTGACTAAACCAACGTAACCTTTAAAAAAAGCATTATTAGAGATATGCTTAGTAGATGATAACAAGATTTACATCATTAAATATTTGAAAAATAAAATTTCTTAAATTAAATGTTATGTGTACTTGTTTCAGTTTTAATGAAATTTTTGAAGTTAACATCTTCTCCCCATGAGGGTGGACTGTGGAGAGGTGGTGCAGCTGCGAGATTATACGTTGGCAAACCATAATCTGAGTTCTTTGGCGACCAAGAATTTGTGGGGTCAGTAACAAAGAGAGTATTTTTCGCCTCGTTCGGATCGACCGAGAAATCCACTCCTATCTCTTCCATCGTTTTGTCTTTTACTTCGGACAAATCGGTCTACCATAAACATTGGATCATGTCAAAACATATATTTTCGAGAGTATGCGTATATGTATATATCATGTATAATATTGGATATTTAAAGAATGTAATTAATAACCATCTTGCACGGCGACGTGAATAAAATTAACTTAAAAGTATCTGCCCGGATGTGATAATGCTCTTCGATGTAATTGTAAAGATCCTTCACGCGTGTGGATACAAATAAGGAAAATTTTTCGCTAGTGCAAAGTTTATGATTAGCCTCGGAAGGCATAGTAAATTGAATCGCACATACTTGAATCTTTTCACCAGCTCTACAAACCATGATCTGCAAATCAAACAATGCAAACGCATTAATCTGACTTCATCAAATATTTGGCTAAATTAAAGAGAAATCACAAACTTTCTCATATATATTCCAATAACATTTCACAGAATAGATGATAAAATTATACTGTTGTTAATCTTTTAAAAAAAAAAGGTACAGGAAAAGAAATATTATGATACAACATTAAAATAAAGAATACAATACTTTTTATTAACAATGTATGTAAAGAGAAATGGCTATTAGAAACTTATCAGATACTTTCAGGCAAAAATTGGCATTGTGCCATACTGACAGCAGAAAATGAGCGAGATCTACGCAACACAGCAGGATGCTGCTCTACATGGCATGACACAGTACGGAAAGCCTATAGAGCCTGCAGCTATATTTAGAATGTCTAAACCAAGCTTGTGAAATGGCTCTCTTCTCCGAGATTACAACCCCCTCTCCTCTCTCTTTTTCTGTCTCACTGTTTTCTTATTTATAACTTTTTTTTAACTGCTCAACAAATTAAAACGTAAAATAACTTAATTATGATGGTTGCTTCACTGTTTGATACTCATTGAACTACTATATAACCAATTTATTCTATATAATCCTAACCCTATATTTCTATATATTAAATATATTCCTAATACTTTATTGCATAAAATTAAATATTTACCTATTTATTTATTATATAATAGATATATATTTTTAAAAATTACAATATCTTGTATGAGGAAAGATAAAATGCACATTAATTCTGTATGTAATTAGAAGTTTTTTATACACAAGAAATATGGATTAGACAATTTTTATTGACTTACCTATATTTTCTTTATTGTACTGGTCTATAATCGATGTATAGTTTAATTTGAAGCTTCGTCGCTATTGACTGACGCAACCTAAAACCATATTAGATCTATATAGTTCAATGAATGAACTAATTAAAAACAATTTAATGAATACACTTTGTTATTCTTATCTGTATCTTCTGCAATATATCTTTGCTTTATGTATATTTAATCGAAATATATACATTTTTATGTATTTATTCACTATATATATATTTTGTTAAAGAACAGATTTAAATAGTGCACATTTAAATATCACAATAAACACTGATATGCTAAAATGATCAACAGCGATATAACAAGCGCGGAAACGGCTCGACAATTAAAACGTAAATGGAAAAGAGGTAGCCTGTATTCAATTCGTGCAAGGGATCGCGTTTGTACACAAACATTTAAATTTGTATCGCTATGAAGACCCGGCATGACACCGATTCCCAAGTCGCATATCAAAGCACGTGAAAGACCTGATAGAATAACAAATATTTTGACTGGATTGACATCGACAGAGAAGCCCTCTTCTATTCGGACACCCCACTAATCTCCGATTAATCGCGTTGCATCTAAGCGCTGTTACATACGTACTGTTTTGTACGCGCATTATGCGCTCACGTTATGCAAATATCGTAAGCGGCTACTTCATCGTTTACGAGGTGTAACAACAATATTAACGAAATCCGAGGCGGTGACCGACACTCAGAGGATAGGAATGCGTTCCCGTGCCAAGATAAGTTTATTAAGGCCGGGGAGCTTTCCAATCGCCCGTGCGATCGACCCGATCGCGATCGGTAGCAGCGCCGAGAAACTACGTGATTCGCGCGCGCGTACCGCGCAATTAATCGCGCACCAAGTCGCCGACGATGCGTTAAATGCACATTTCGACGCGTTCACGCGATGCAAGCGAAGCGAGCAAGTACGAAATGGCTGTGGGTGGTCGTACGAGTCGTACCCGCGATGACAGACAGACAGACCGACCGTTCGTTCGTTCGTTCGTTTGTTCGTCGTGCGTGCGTGCGTGCATGAGTACGTCTCCGTCGTGCCGTCTCCGGTGTTTTTTCGCGACGAGGTTCGGCCTCCACTCAACCTCACGTGTAGCCGCTCCTAACGAGCCGAATTCGCAGCGGTCGTTCGCTCACGGTTTACACAGAATCCGACTTGGGAACTGACCTCTCAACGAAATCACTGACACATGTGCAACATTCACTTTTACGCCATATTCCCTGCACGGCGCATCTCTCTCGCTCTCGGACCCGACCGCTGCTGCCCCCTCACGGTCGCTTTTTGCAATAACGCACGTAATAACGGGACTCGTTCATACAAGGTGTTCGGTAATAGAACCGTGACATTCTATCTTCCTTCGGCGTGTGATGAGTGATAAAGATAGAATGATGCTTTCGGCACGAGAGCGTGCAAGACGAACTTAGCCTGTATAGGGTGTTTCGAAATTACCAAATGTTCTCTTTACCAGAGATCACTCGAGTGATCGGAGGATGATTTTATTCTCAATGAAAAGATAAGCGTTTATTAAACTTTAAGTGATATCTGGCAAATTAAACTGAAAGGAATAACATTGATTTATCTCTTTTGACCATTTTTTAACGAACGAGTTCTCCTAGATGACGCCACGTGAGCGTGAATGCGGTCATCTTTTTGTTGTCGCGAGGAATACCTTTGCATGTCGTTCGTGACATTATTCTATGGTGTTCCATAGATTGACATATGCGTTCTGACGTTGACAGTTACAACGATGGCTGTAAAATGTCAATGAAGATCTGACACGTTTATAAGGGAAATCCATCGAGATCTATACATGATGGATCTGGCTAAATCATTCTTCAACGTTCGTGATCACGAAGGTTACGTCGGGAAAGAGGAGCACAATGTGAGTATTCACGACCAAGTTTAATGCGAATTTTTCGTATCGACCTCAATAAAATTAATAACGCGCAGTATGACATGTCGTCGTCTACTTTGCTCTGATAACATGCTGCTCGTTTATTTTAGAAAAAAATAGAAACAGCTGTCTCCGAGGATGAAGTCGAAGTAGAGGTCGGAGGTTTGTGCTGCGAGACTCTGTCCCCGGCACCAGGTGGCCCGTTTTCAGCGTTGACGCCGTCAATGTGGCCTCAAGACATCCTAGCTAAATTGAATCAACCTGATGATCCGAATTCACAGCCTGAATACAGGTGAGATTTCACCTGTATCCCAAAAATGACACAGAAGTCCTCTAATGTTGATCATAGTGTATGATCCTGACAATCATTCTGTCGATTATCAAATCTAGATTTGACGAATTTGGTTTTCGTGTGGAAGAGGAAGATGGTCCTGAACAGAGTTCAAAGAAGTTGTTGGGGATACCATTTGTTGAAGACCCTCAGCATAGGTCACAATTAGTCACATTTCCTTATGTCATATCCACTGCAAAAATTCTATTAAATTAACAATTTATTCTTTTAGATTGCAATGGGTAGCTCTCTTGGAATTTAGTCACAACAAAGAAGTAGCAGAGCTTTCATGGCAAAATATGGATCGCAGGCTACCACGTACAGATAAATTGCGTGAGATGGTGCGACGTGGCATACCTCATTCCTTGAGACCACAAATTTGGATGCGCATGTCAGGTATGAAATCACAAAGAGAATGAACTTGATCAATTAAATGTTATGGGAATATATTTCTTTATTACAGGAGCACTTCAGAAAAAGTGTTCATCAGAAATCATGTATAAAGACATAGTGAAAGCCTCAAGTAATGATGCATTAATGACAAATAAACAAATAGAGAAAGATCTCCTTCGCATTATGCCAGCCAATGCATGTTTCAGCCATCTCCATAGTACTGGTATACCCCGTCTGAGGCGTGTTATGCGTGCCTTAGCTTGGCTATATCCTGATATTGGGTTTGTACAAATAACAGAATAATATTAATCTTATATTGCGATATAGATATCTATTAATTTTCTTTTGTTTTCTGATGTATCTAGTTATTGTCAAGGCACAGGTACGATGGCAGCGTCGTTATTATTACTTTTGGAAGAGGAAGATGCATTCTGGATGATGGCGACAATAGTGGAAGATTTGTTACCAGCCTCTTATTACTCTTCAACATTGTTAGGTAATATATACTCTGTCAAGATTACACGTGAAATATTTTAAATTTTCAAAATTGACTATCACACAGAATTATAACGCATTAGATTTAATTATTACTTCCTACAGGTATTCAAGCCGACCAAAGAGTACTTCGCACATTAGTAACTAATTACCTCCCCGACATAGATCACGTTTTAGTGCAACACGACATAGAATTAAGTCTCATATCTCTTCACTGGTTTCTGACTTTATTCGCATCAGTTGTACATATGAAAATATTATTGCGGATATGGGATATGTTCCTTTTCGATGGATCTATAGTTTTATTTCAAATCACACTCGGGATGTTAAAAATAAAAGGTATCTATTGCATTTTACTGTGACACATCAGTTTATAACTCATAAGTTAAAATAAATTATGTTATTATAAATCTTTCAGAAACGGACTTGAGATTGTTAGAGAACTCTGCGCAAATATTTAATGCGCTTTCAAACATACCGGGGGACGTCGACGACGTGGACCAATTATTCACTGTATATTTGATATAATTATAAGAATGTGTCATAATTGAGTTAAATTAAAAAATTACTATATTTCATATATATTTTAGGTATCCTTAGAAGTTAGTGGATCATTGACAGATGTATTAATTGAAACTCACAGACGTCGCCATTTGGCGTATTTAATGGCTGATCAGGGTGGATTAGTGGGGAATCCAGATGCTGCACCGAATTTGCCGAAGCAACATTTGAATAGGTATGAGTAACGAAAATATATATCTTACTATTATGCCAACATGGTAACATTATGGTATTAATCGAAATGCTTTTTTATCAGACGTCAAATGAAACGAAATAAATCAATGTTGCAAACGTTTCTATTTGGGAACGATGATGGCGAAGATGATGCGAAATCTAAAAATATTCGTCAAACAGGTACACACAGTTGTAGATATACTTTTCAATAGAATTTATTTATTGTACCTAACTTTATGTGTGAACCTAAAATCCGCAGAAATTCTAGTCGACTTGAGGGAAGCTGTCTTACAAGTGGCGAGGCATTTCATAAACGTCGATCCAAAACTGAACAGTATTATGCTCATAGCAGATTACACTATGGAAAGTCACGCGAAAGACCATGATAATTATGTGAACGTATCGCGAACTCGGAAGAGAAGAGCAAAGGCTTTATTAGGTTTAAATATACAATTTCTATCGTTACATTCTATCTGGTTATAATCTTACGATAACGATGCAACAATAAATTATGTTGCAGACTTTGAAAGACACGATGATGATGAACTCGGTTTTCGAAAGAACGATATAATCACGATAATTAGTCAAAAGGACGAACATTGCTGGGTAGGAGAACTCAATGGATTGAGAGGTAATGTTTGCGATATATATGAAAGTTTTGTGGCATTCTTATTTAACCCGACGACGCATTCCAGGATGGTTTCCCGCGAAATTTGTAGAACTACTAGATGAACGGAGTAAACAATACACGTGCGCTGGTGACGACGCAGTCAGTGAAGCTGTCACTGATTTAGTGAGAGGTACACTATGCCCTACTATGAAAGCGGTATTAGAACATGGTATGAAGAGACCATCATTTTTGGGCGGACCATGTCATCCGTGGCTATTCATAGAAGAGGCTTCCAACAGAGAAGTGGAGAAAGACTTCAATTCCGTTTATAGCCGATTGGTTCTATGCAAAACATACAGATTGGATGAAGATGGTAAAGTTCTGACTCCAGAAGAGGTATACTATAAATGTCAAACTCATTATTAGTACCATTTTTCTTTTTTCTGTATGTTTGATGAACTTAATTTTTCAGTTGTTATATCGTTGCGTTCAGTCTGTGAATTTAACGCATGACAATGCACACGCTCAGATGGATGTAAAATTACGTTCCCTTATCTGCCTCGGATTGAATGAGCAAGTACTGCATTTATGGTTAGAGGTTTTATGTTCATGCGTGGAAGTGGTACAAAAGTGGTGAGTATAAACATATGCTTACTCATTTGTAAGTATATACTGTCTGTTATACAATAGTGTTGCATATGTTTAGGTATCAGCCATGGAGTTTCATAAATAGTCCAGGCTGGGTGCAAATCAAGTGTGAATTGAGGATATTGAGTCAATTTGCGTTTAACTTGAATCCTGACTGGGAACTACCGCCTAAAAAGGAGCAATCGCAGCCTTTGAAAGACGGGGTCCGTGATATGCTAGTCAAACATCATTTATTCAGTTGGGATCTTTAGCGTATTAGCTTAGTTCCATGGTTAAAGAGGCTTTCATTTCTAAACTCTTAAACTTTTATGCATAACAGTGATAGTGTACAAATACCTGATCTCAGTTTTGTTATTATACATGACGTTAATTTATATAACAAATATTACTGACACACATATATATATATATATATATATATATATATATATATATATATATATATATATATATATATAAACTGAAATCTTTCTAATATATAAATCTTGAAAAGCGTATAATTCCGTATTGCGAAATAGATAATTTCAGAAAGAAAATATTGCCACATTTTCAATATAGTGATAAATATATCTGTATGTGCAACAGAAAGATGTTATAATTTAAAAGATATATATTTTTGAGCAGTGCCTTCGACATAAAGATATAATTGAAGAGCGTTTATGTCATTTATAAAATCTTATGAAGAGCATTTGTAAAATTTTCAGTATTATAACAATATAAAAATATTTATTTGTCAGAGAAATATTGTTGAGTATAAATAATTTTAGTTGTATGTACAAGTCGTTTCATATATATTCTTCACACATCGTTCATTGAGCCAAGCGCTTGATCAACGCTCGCGCTTCTTATTGCAACACGGATCTGTAAGATTTTCATCAACGATCTTTATATTGAGCGGTGGCTTTTCTTCCTTCGTATTAGCAATTAAGTCTTCGTCTTCGTCACGTTTTGCGGCAACACGCATAAGCTTGTACTTCTCGACGGTCGTCGTATCAGCGCGTAAATTGTGCACGTCGAAGATGTGTTCGCACTGTATTACTTTGCTGTCTATCGCGAATGTACCGTGGCACGATTTTTTTCTAATGTAAATAAAATGTAAATCCATAACGTTGGTGCCAGTGAGACCCGTCTTCAATAAATCCACGCCTCTCTTGAAGCGCGAGTAAAAATTGTATGTATCGTTATTTAACAGAGTATTCTGAAGCAACATGCGTTCTGCTTCCATCAAATTTAACATCAGAGGATTGATACGGACGTTATCGTCTGTTCGAGCAGAGGCAGACTCTGCTGTGACATTATTGGAACCTCGCACCTGTGGCTCAACGATGAATCTTGCCATTTCCGCATTGCATGATAAATCCTTCTTTGGACTCTCCTCATCCTCGATCTTCTTCGCGTATTTCATCGCTTCCTGAGACGCGATTGATGTGAATTCCTCTTTGGACATGGCTTGAACTCTTTGGTAAAGATCGCACGTTATAGGTACGATGGCGGGATAACCGAATGCACCTGCCGCGTCAGTAGGACCGTCTTGGCCATCTGTACCAGCGCTCAACATCATTACTTCGTAATTAGCTAACGTCGGGCAAATTTTAGTCATTGCAAACAGATCTTGCGAGAAACGCGCAGCTAATTCCTGATTTCTGCCGCCTTTTCCTTCACCTTCCACCAAAACTGTGGGCTCTCCTCCTCCAATTAGAACTAAATCACCAATATTACTGACAATGCATTGATAGATTTCATTTACTTTGTTAGAATCTAATTGAATTGTTGCATTACTGTGCATTAAATCATAGAATTTTTCCAGTGTCAATTCTTGCATAAAGGTACGAATTATTAGGTTCACTATGTGCATGTATGCTATACTGACATCTTTCACATTGCCCTCAACATCATTCTTTAATATTATTGGAGTTAATTTCTTGCGCAATGCTTCTCGCTGTGCAGCTTCTACAGCCATTGTATTGTTCCCTATTATTATGTTTTTCACGTGTTTAAATTGACCAGCTGAATTTAGCAGTGGAGCATCATTGAAGGTCTCCTTGGATGTTAAAATTGTTTTCAAATCACCCTCTAAGGACTGATACAAATCATACTTTCTCAATATAGCAACTACTTCCTCCGTTGTTTTGGCATTGTAAACAGTAGGGCCACTAGCAATCAAATCTATTGGATCATTGACAATATCAGATAATATCAGCGTGATAACAGCAGCAGGATGAGCCATTCGTGCCAAGCCACCGCCTTTCACAAGGGACAATTTCCTTCTTACAATATTGAGCTCTGTGATGCTGGCACCTGCATTCTGAAGCCTCTTACACAGCTGCAACTTGTCCTCGTGGTCGAGAGTGGGTCTCGGCATATACAGCAAGGCCGAGCCTCCTCCTGACACCAAGACTATCAGAGTATCAGTGTCCGTTAATTTTTCCACCAGGTCTATAACACGGTGCGTGGTCTCCAACGATCTGCTGTCCGGTTGATTATCGACGCTACCCTCGCGATATTCGATCACGCTGTCGTGCAACTTCGGAAAGCCGGACTTGTCCTCGGCTCGCCACACAGCATCCATCGACTTGCTCGGAATGCTAACTATACCTTTTTTCAGAGCACCGCCGAGCATCTTTTCGAGCTCCACAGCCATTCCCATAACTGCCTTGCCGAAGCCGACCAAGTAAACATTCTCTTGAAGCGGGTACTTCTCATTGTTAATGTACAGAACATTATCCTGGAATTTCACTTTTTTCTTTATGATCTCGTTCGGAGACACCGCTCTCACAGCGGTGCGAAAGAGATCTGTTAAATGCGACCTAGCCTCTGACAAGAACCCTGTGTCGGTCGTCATATCGCGATGTGGATTCGCGCACTTGGAAAATTGAGTTAGGTTAGGACGGAAAGTTGTGTTATAACTGAAAAATTAAAACACGCATAAATAAAGCAAACACAAAACGCTCGATTTCTAACAAAAATCAAAATACTTGCCGGTGCAAAATGAACTTGAGCAATATCCCTTGACGTGTCATAATCAATTACCAAATACATATGTACGTCTGCGCTTGATTGGAGACATTTTTTGTGAGATAATACTAGAGCCTTTTGCGTTGCGTATAACGTCACACATGTTATGAAATTTAAACAGACCTAAAATTCCGCAAGATATACGACGCACAATTATTCCGTCGTATAATTACATTCCTCACTTCAAATGTGTCTCGGGAATTGATTAAATACGCAATAATTATATCCTTTGCTGTACTACCAATAAAAGTATCAAATTATTTTAAAGTGATAAGTAATTGCTCTTTTGAAAAGGAAAATTTAATAAATTAACTCTTATTGTAAATCATAATTCGTACAATTATTTGACAATTTCGTCACAAAAATTGCAAAGTTCGGGTGAGTCAACGTTTAAGGTATTTGTTGGCCCTGAAAAGGGCCGTTCGTAAATTCCAAGTGATCTTCCAATTTACTTTGAGCTGGTGTACTTGGTTACTGCCTTCGTGCCTTCACTGACCGCGTGCTTGGCCAATTCACCAGGCAATAGCAATCTCACGGCAGTTTGTATTTCCCGGGAGGTGATCGTCGAGCGTTTATTGTAATGCGCCAATCTCGACGCTTCCGCGGCAATTCTCTCGAACACATCGTTCACAAAGCTGTTCATGATGCTCATCGCTTTGCTGGAGATACCGGTGTCCGGGTGCACCTGCTTGAGTACTTTGTAAATGTAAATGGCATAACTCTCCTTCCTCTTCCTTTTTTTCTTCTTGTCGGTCTTGCTGATGTTCTTTTGAGCCTTGCCGGCCTTTTTTACAGCTTTACCGCTAGCTTTAGGTGGCATTCTTAAGAAGTCTCGTCGATTGAACGTCAGATGCAACGATCTTAGTGTCCAAAAGAAGAATGACGCCGTAGCGCTTCCTGCGGTCATTATATATGTACGCTCGTCAGCTGCGACGCACCAATCAGAGGGCCATGAGCTCAGCGCGCGCTCTCATTGGTGGAGGTGCGCTGCCCTCGCCTGATATGAAAGGTCAGCGTGGGCCAAGCGACGCCACAATTCTCTCATTCTTTGTAGAGGAACGATCTCTGCGTTCGTTAGCTGAGCCAAGATGTCTGGTCGCGGAAAGGGCGGTAAAGTCAAGGGAAAGGCGAAGTCTCGCTCGAATAGGGCTGGACTGCAATTCCCCGTTGGTCGTATTCACCGATTGCTGAGAAAGGGAAATTATGCGGAACGCGTCGGTGCCGGTGCTCCGGTCTACTTGGCCGCTGTCATGGAATACCTCGCTGCTGAGGTATTGGAATTGGCTGGCAATGCGGCTCGTGACAACAAGAAGACCAGGATCATTCCCCGTCACTTGCAACTTGCCATACGCAATGACGAAGAATTGAACAAGCTGTTGTCTGGTGTGACCATCGCTCAGGGTGGTGTGTTGCCGAACATCCAAGCTGTATTGCTGCCCAAGAAGACCGAGAAGAAGGCATAAATTCTAACCAGAAATCATACGCAAACGGCCCTTTTCAGGGCCACAAATATTTATAACGATGGAATAATCTATCTTGTCTAGCATTAAAGCTAAACCTAACCTAGCTTTAACCTGTCTCAAACATTTAGGTTATGCACAAACCTTTCATACAGTTAACTGCATATTTCCAATTCTTTTATACAAACGTCAATATATCGATTACTGAGAGAACTTTTATATATATATTTAAAGATTAAGAAATATCATAGGATGTTTTGATGATCATAGGATGATATATTTCAAAATGCACTCGATTAATTGTGGATCGGGGTCTAATTTCATTTAGGTGCATTTAATCTAGTATACATGATATTCTCCAAGAATTACTGAATATTTTTCACGCAGTGAAGTATCTTAATATTTCGTAGAGGAAAATTGAATAACATTTATATAAGTAAGAGATGTTATTTTTTATTACATGCGAAGAGAGAGTTCACGTTGCAGAAGCATCATACGTGATATCTAAGATATTTTCCGTTCAAGGTGTACAAGCTTAGAACTGTAATTTTTGCAAGTGTGTAAAAACAATTCGTGCGGATACTCGACACAGCGCATCACGAAATGGCGCTGGAAGAAAAAATGCCCTTCCACTGTTCGCTTGCCTCACATAACCGCACAAAGGTACTCGCGGTTATTCTCTGTGCGAATCATGCTCGAGCGAGTCTAGTTCCGCTATCTATCTCGTATGATATCGCGTCGAAGTATATATGTACGAAGGATGATGATACGTCAGTATTGAGAAAAATGCGTGATGCATTGTAAAAATTACAATGAAATTACGACTAAACGTTTCCCTCGCTTTTCCTTTCGATCTCGTCGCAACATGCGACACTCCTGAATATCTACCTGCGTCGTATTCTGTCGAAGGATATCGATCTGCTTGAAATACAAGCGTATGTACGTGCAGGAACTACATGTAATTTCGTAAAAACTACGTATAAATTGATTATTGCATGAAAGAAACTACATAACCCTCATTTTCGTGCATTATCTCCGAGTCTGTACGGTGTGGCATCAAGCAGGCAATAATAAGCGTATCTTAACATATTTTTTGCAATATTGAGGAGAATTTTATCGAACCGTTCGGCCTGTCTTCATTGCGTTACAAGCCACCTTGATATAACGCTTGGTTCGTGAGCGTTCAGTTCTACCGAGAGCTCGGATTTTCAGCGTAGAAAGCGTGAAACAGCTGCAGCCGGCGTTGGCCAATGAGCTCGCTCGACAACCACGCAACGCGATTGGTGCAGCGCAGTTCACCTCGTTCTGTATAAAAACAAGGCCAGTCTACTGCACGGCTCACTCGACGACCAGACTTCGATTGGTTAACACCCAGTTCTACGACGTTTGAGATTGTCCCTGTTGACTCGATATCATGCCGCCGAAAGCCAGCGGAAAGGCCGTGAAAAAAGCCGGCAAGGCCCAGAAGAGCATCAGCAAGACTGATAAGAAGAAAAGGAAGAAGAGGAAGGAGAGCTATGCTATCTACATCTATAAAGTGCTGAAGCAAGTACACCCGGACACCGGAATCTCCAGCAAAGCTATGAGCATCATGAATAGTTTTGTGAACGACGTATTCGAGAGAATCGCTGCTGAGGCATCTAGACTGGCACACTACAATAAAAGATCGACGATCACTTCTCGTGAGATACAGACGGCCGTCAGACTGTTGCTACCCGGCGAATTGGCCAAGCACGCAGTCAGCGAAGGTACAAAAGCAGTGACAAAATACACCAGCTCCAAATGAATTCGACGCCTATCCACACGCATCGGCCCTTTTCAGGGCCAAAATTTCTTAAAACTTGGATCTTCTTCTGCTCGCAATATCATAGCTTTACTTCATATTTATACATTATTTCCTGTGTTATAACCTGTTAGTAACGAATGAATTGCAAGATTTCGACGAGTTTCGCAACGTATTTGTGTTTAATGCAAGAATTCTTTTGTTAAGTAAGTTGCGTTGTAAGTTGTTTCGTTGAATAGAATTATTCTAATGTTCATCGGAGTAAAAATGAATAAATGCAGATTCTCCAAAGAGGTTCGCGACTCTAATGTAGATAAAACGTTAAAATAAATTATCGAACAGAAACTAAAAAAGCACGGAATTTACAGAAATGTTTATATTATTAAAGTTATATCTGACCTTTTTTGTTTATAACTTTAGTTTTAATCTTGTTTAGTATCATGTTTGACTATTGGGATTTATGCTTGACTGAAAATACATTACTTCTTTTCTGATTTTACTAATCCATATTGTACAATCGCATATATATATTTCGTAATATAAATTGTGCAAATTATTTGTTCGTCTATTTTTTAAGTCTAGTTTTTTATATTGTATTCTCGAAATTCTAATATTTTAAAGTTATATCGATTCTCAAAAACTAAATTTATGCTTTCAATAATTTTCCAAGCAAATTATCTAAAATACATTGAAGATAATTAGTTAAAATCATAGTAATTGCTGTACTCAGGAAGAAATTCCACGTTTGATATTAGTGGCCCTGAAAAGGGCCGATTGTATTTGTGATGTAGTCGAATAGTCATATTTAACCGCCGAAACCATAAAGGGTTCTGCCTTGACGCTTCAGCGCGTAGACGACGTCCATGGCGGTTACGGTCTTCCTTTTGGCATGCTCGGTGTAAGTAACCGCGTCACGAATCACGTTCTCGAGGAACACCTTTAGGACACCACGCGTTTCTTCATAGATCAAGCCGGAGATACGCTTGACGCCGCCACGACGTGCGAGACGACGAATGGCGGGTTTGGTGATGCCCTGGATGTTATCACGCAGTACTTTGCGATGCCGCTTCGCTCCTCCTTTTCCCAATCCCTTTCCTCCCTTTCCGCGACCAGTCATATCGATCTATCTAAAATGTGATTGCTAAGTACTTCCTCTAACCAAAGCAGAGAACGAGTGAATCAGCTCTTCCATACCACCATCTATTTATACCCTGGTTACTCAAGCCTCCCTACTCCAGCGACATCCACCAATAGGAACATCGCTTCATCCGTTGCATCTGTTCTCCTTACCCTCCTCGCATCAGCCAATCAAAACACGCATATTTACAAAAGAACATTTTTTAGCAAAATATTTGACAAATCTTTGTTGTTGGATTACAATTTAATTGGATTCTCTATAATTCACTATCCTGTATTACTGAATAGTTTACACAATAGCTACTATTTTGCAGATGTAGGTGCAGGATTACGCCTCAGAATGTATCATACTTGAAATCGCCATTAGTGCTATTGTCTTTCATTTAGCCGGTATATTTAATAAAAATGCATTTTGCGTAATACACGCGACATCACGTTATAAGACCGTATTTTTGTGTATCCATCAAAGGGATTAAAGTCCTGATGCAAATTCGATGATGTAATGCTCCACCATAGGTAAAACAGTCAATTCAATTGCAGGTTTGCAGATTTTGATTGCAGATTTGATTTTTATTGTTCTTTATTCCTGCGAAATTTAACAGCGGAACGTAGCGAAAAATCTTTAGAAATATTCGTTAACGTCTATTGGCAAGTGATTCCGGTGAAACTAGCATATACTGCAAGAAAATCAGAAGTTACAGTCGTCTGTGGAAAACGTGGAAAAATGCTATCGATCGCATTTGGCTATCTCAATTTCTGGGTGTGAATCCGAGTGTTTAAAATGTTTAGGTCGTGTTAAGTATAAACTTAAAAAGGAAAATATATAACTAGTTTAGAGCAGCTGTCTTGTCTTCCCAATCTGCAGTTTATCAAGATGTATTAGGTAATAATGCTGATTGAATTTTAAACTGATACGAATGCATTCTCTCTTGTTTATGCTAAGTGTATCGCTATTATGTTGAAAGATATTCAATGAACAAGTGGAGAATGAACTGAAACGGCTAATTTATAAAAGTATTAGGTTTTTTCAAGACTAACAATCTTTCTCAAAGGAATATTCTCATCTAGGAGCGAAGGGGCAATGAATATTCTTAACCAGAAGTTAAATACACTAACTAGAGGTCCTAAACAGATTTTTAATTGTATTGCATCATTAAGTCAGCATTCACAAAAAGATATGATTCATTATTGAATAATAAATTGTACTCTACATTGTTATATTGACATGTGCAACATAACCTTAGATGTTGAAATTGTATTCCAACTTTAATGAAATATATGGTTTTTCATTCATTTTATAATCTAATAGGAAGAAATACTTCTTCTTTATAAAGGTTTATTTTTGTAGGAAGGATAATGAATATACAAATATAATTTCAAATATATATACATTACATATATTTAATTTAGTGTTATCACTTGATACAGTATTAACTTGCAATTTTGTAAAAATGAGACGACAAATTACTTGGTAAATATTTATAAGAAAATGATTAATTTATTTGATTAATGATGCCACCATGGCTCATATTAAACGACTTGAAAAGTCATTTTAACATTCTATATCTTATATATATATATATATAATGTATGTCCAATTTTAATAGCTTAGCTCAGGTAAAGTTGTCTCACATGCGATTCAATGTACTTTGGATTGATCGTAGATTTGCTATTTCTCTGGCAAGATCACAACCATTAGGTTTGCTGAAGAGTGTTGTTAAGCACTTCGAAATAACATCTTGGCATTTTGTAATTATTTTTCTCCTGCATTAAAAGAAACAAGTTTTATATTATAACTAAGTTCATAATGTTATAATTTCAATGTAGATTAAAAATATATGATACAGTTTTTATCTCTACAAAGCTGAATTTTTTCTCATTTTTAATTTGTGAAACAAGATTTGATAGATTGCGGATAACACTAACCTGATAAAGCTGTTTGTAACATTTGAATGTGATATAAAATAATGCACTAAGTTTGCTGTTGATTCAATCAGATGAAATTCATTACCTTCATTTAACCAAGTACGTGTATTTTTGCCGATCATTCTAAAAGCAAGATAATGTATGATTATTTTGGAATACAAGAGCACAAATATTTGTATTCTTGTATTATATTTATGCTTACTTGTCATAAATATCTAGAAGATCTTCCATAGCTATTCCCAATTCTAAAAATCCAGTTATAATGCCAGTATTAGATACTTTATATTTACATGCTTTTATTTCCAATTGTTTTACTAAAAAGTCTGCAACATACATGAAAGAAATTAAAGAACATTCGTATATATGAAATAATAATATAAACTTGAGTTTTTCTGAGAAATCTGTAGAATATAATTACCAATTGGGAAACAGTGCGGTGATCCAACATATTCTTGACCAAGTAATTTAATTTTACTCATTAAAATGGTCATTTTATCTTCGTTGGAGGGAGCTGTCGCATTTTCTAATTCTACAAACAAAATTTCTTAAAAATAAAAAAGATTTAATACGATATTCAAAATTTTGTCACATACCATTATCAATTATATTCGTCCAAATCCCTTTGATTAACATATCATCTTGATGACCTGAGCAATGAATTATAGCCAATTTGCATTCCCAAAGCTGTAAGGGCTCTGCATATTCTTCGTATAACTGTAAATAATATTCTGTAGTAGTTTTACGAAACGCAGAATAATTTATATAAAAAAATTACAAACCTGTGTGATATCAAGCAGTGAAGAATTCAATCTCAACTTTGCATCTTTCACTGTCATGGAATCGTGCAAACTTTGCTGATTGTTTGTTATATTATTGATAATATCAAGTATCTATATATTGAAAGCAGACGATTGTTGCAGATATATACATATACGTACATAATATAACGTATTAATAAAGCAAGAAATATACACATACATACCTTTTGTTGCATTCGAGCTATTTCTAATTTATCTTCTAATTCGCGTAAGAAGATTCCAAGGTAAGGAGCATATCCAGTTTGATGACTTCGCATGCATGCAACCGCTCGTGCTAAATACTCTACTCTTTCTGGTAATGATATATCTGACCTATGATGAATATTAATTATTTTATATCTGTTTTACAAAATGATTTTACAATACAAGTAACGTATCGTGTACATACCCGACTTTGCTGGCTAAAGAATCCAAGATTTTCGCCGCAGCTGCATGGTTCTTGTTTCTCTCATAAAACTGCCATAGTAACTCGGGCGCATTGACGCGATTGAGATATGTCTCTAACGACGGTGCAGCAAGCGCGACCAGTTCACCATGGAGTCCTTTCTCTATCATCCAAGTATAAATGGAAGAATGCAGTGTCTCACATAGAGCCTGCAGTGCGTCGCCTATGATCTCATGTAACTAAAAATACATTAATGTTAAAACTGTTATTGTAGATGATCAGAAAAATCGGATAACTTACTATTTCTTTCGCCGGTGTTATAGCGGTAATAGAAGTAGTTAGCAAGGGAGGTCCGGGTTTGCTCGGTATGGTCGGAGTTAAAGGACTAGAAAGACTTTGTTGATACAAGTGATCCAACATTGCAATGAATTCCTTATAAATTTCTAAACTATAAGAAATACAGAGAAAATGAATCATGTTGCTAAGATTATTCACTGCTATCCAGAAGAATATGTATCGTTATATATTTTATGTTGTGTACTATAACGTATGTATACCGTTTCATAAAGGCTATATTTCCCTCTTGATCCTCCAAAGGCTCGTTATTCTTGTAATAATGTGAGGCGGCATTGTTGGGATCTATTCTTTCTGCACAACAGATACATAATTCGAGTACTCCCATATAGAATTGGCACGCCACAAACTGCTGACACACCGCGGCCAAATTCAACCTGGGCGCTACCTCCTTGCAGAGCTGCGTATATATTTAACAAATGAGTCAAATTACATTTTGCGCGAATATTGTTGTAACATACCTTTAAAGCAGATTGCAGATGCAGTTCTTTCTCTTCAGGATTTGTGCAACTTTTTGCTTTCAGAATAATTTCATTCGCCTAAATTTTCACAATTACCATTTTTAATTATGAATATTCGATAAGAGTATTGACAATTACACGCTATTATCAGTATTACCTTAGAACAAACAGCATCTTCGGATCTATATAAATTCGGGCATACCTCCCTCAATTTCGCGCTTACGGAATCCACCGATGCATTATCTCCAAGATAGCTGGAAAATATTAATTGTAAATTATTCTCTGCTACATTTTTAGAAAATTCATAATACAAACTTACCTATCGATTAAATGAACGATAAGTAGAGAAGATATCTCATGGCCTATCAAAATCAAGTCTCTAAAGGTAGCTGTTGAAAACTGAGTGATCTGATCCTAAAAGACAATCGAAATGCATATTTTGACTGTACATCATAAAAATAAGAGGCAAACATATGATGCGGTATATGTAAAGTTAAATAATAACCTTCGTTAAACAGTTCACAATATTGCTTAATTGATTCTCACATAATATCTTCCATAAACCTAATACTTCGCAGGCATGTGTGATAAAAACTTTTAGAGCATCTAATGAATTCCTTTCTTCTACGATAGGCTCTTGAAAATGACTTGTAATGGTTGTTTCAAAGCCAGTGGTTATACTTCTGGTTGCGTTTTGCCTAAAAACATGTATATTTAGTTTTAATTTGAAATTAACTTTCAAGTATTGTAATCGATTGAAATAGCATTTTGGCGCAAAAAAATATTTCCAAAATAAATTTTTTTGATATTAAAATATAAAACATTTTGATAATATACATACTGTTTTGTGATATGCGTATTTTTATTCAAGAAAGATCTCAATGCTTGCAAATGTCCTAAAATCCAAGCTATTTGTGACGCTGGTACTGTACTGGATATCTGAAAAAGTATATAAATATTATTTAATATATTTCCAACAATACAAATGAAATAACATAATTATAGGATTATTTCTCTTTAGTATCTCATTTACCTGACTTTTATTATTTACTATTTCTTGTTTTATACATCTTATGTTCCATATTGGACGAAGTATCCTTCCTACGTATAAGTATAACCCGCTGTGTTTTGCAGAGAAGTGTTGTAAAGCGATATCGGTGGTAAGTCCCATTTGAGCGTGTGATCGGAAGGGTTGAGTTCTAGAGTCAAAAGTTGGCACTCTGGGTGTGGATGTACGTAAATCTATTAAATTAAAAATAAAATTAATTTAAAAACATGAAAAACAGATATTTGTCGGATATTTACGTTTCACATAGCCCGAAATAATTTATGAGATGTGATGTACACACCTGGATTTATACTAGAAAAACCACTATGCATGTCAATGGGGAGACCTATTCCTGCTGTTCTTTGGCCGCCATATAAAAAGAATGCACGAGTAGCCCATTCGGATAACTGATGCCAAAAATATTCAGATCAGTAGCATTCGCAATATCGAAATAACGCAAATATCAACGTGAGCATCACAAACCTGGGCGTTCTGAGAACTCGCAAGCGTCGCTAAAATAAGGCACGTGGCACACGCTTGTTCTAGAGATTGCGTTTGAAAATACGCACGCACTGATTCAGTGTCAGGTCCGCGTTGTTCCAAAAGTAGTTGACGCAAGATATCCACAGGACGTATTTGCATTAAAATTATTGCGCCCTGCAACAAAACGATTGAATTATCAATGAATATAATACGAAATGAATAAGAGTATGGAATAAAAATATATCTATCATATATATATGTATATATATATATATATATATACTTGTGCTGTCAAAAATATGAATTTTCTCGGCGGTTCCATATGTTGCCGTACTAGCAGAGGAGGTTCACCCTGAGGACTATTTTGCTTCTCAATGTGTATAGCTGAATCTCCTATGATCTCTTCCATAGCCCAAGCTGGACTATCGAGAGATAGGATACTCTGAGTCTCGGCTAAATAATTTGTAAATGGATAGGCATCGTTGCTTAAACACCATGCACTTTCAGTGTCACCGCCACAAACAAGAATAAGAGTACCTAACAATTATTTCAACATGATACAAATATTACAATACACCTAATGTTTTATTCATATAAGTCAATAAAAAATGTTTTAATCAAATTGAAGTATTTAATGCTATGAATAGGTAATTTACCTTTTCTATAATATGCCATCTGCACTTTCCGTGGTCTCATTACAGGAGCATTTGCAGCGTAACCTGGTGGTAATCTAACATGTATCAATTGCAGACCTTGCGGTCTACTCGTAGGGTTCGTAACTGAAGTACAGCTGAAGTAAAAACGAGTTCCCGTTGCTGCGACTACAACCAAATTTAAATGCACTGATTCAGATTCTGTTATGGCTGATATGCTCACAAGGGGTCGAAAATTGTTACTATCCAGAGTTCTAGAAAAAGAAAAAATATTAACTCGATATCATCAATATATATATATATATATATATATATATATATATATATATATAT